AAAAAAAAAAAAAAAAAAAAAAAAAAAAAAAAAGAGATAAAAATATGCGAACGATAATTTTTTATAAACTTTTACGACATAAGGTTAGTAATATTGTTGTATCATAGCTACTGTTTTGTTACCATACCAATAAAGATATTTTTCTAAGAATTATTTTGTGTTGAATGGAATGGATTGTGCAGGTCAGTGTATGAAGCGTCCGTACGTATAGATAGATCTTGTTATCAATTACTTGTCAATTGACGCTTTGGGAATGCAAATTATCCGTGTATTATTGTTAAATACAGCGTGTGAAATAAAACATCAAGTAGAAAATATATTCATTGCACAGTGAATTTTAGACTAATGATTAATGATTTATGATAATCCAGCATCTCTCTTAATTATCGTTAAAATATACAATAGTTAAAAGGAATGTGAAATTCTCATTAATTGGTAACGACATTTTTTTATCGTTTTTTTTTTTCTTTTTTCTTTTTTCTTTCTCCCCCCCCCCCCCATGAAAAACATAAATGCTCCAAGGTTTTGAGTAAACTGAATAAATTAAATAAATTTTTTCTATTGTAACAAACACATACCCTTACATTTCAACATGCTTGTTTTCAACATGATTGACGGATATTATTGTGATAATTGAATTGAATTTAATTTAAATAGTTTGTATATATTTTTATCAGAGATACGTTCGCAAACGATTGGCCATACGATGAATAGTAACAGCACATGGATTTATTACAAGAAGTATTGAAAATATTTAAATAATGTCAAATAAACTTTTGATAAGTTATCGAAATATCAAATATATATTAAAATGCTCTGCTTTTCATCAGTTAAGCCCTATTCGTATTGCTGTATTACTGATTTACGTTTCACTCTTTTCAGCTTTTCAGCACACTTACTAACAAATAATGATTTTATTAATCTTAAAAGTTCTATAATTACTTCAATTTATTACGATTCTAAAACGTACAATTGACGCTATTAACATTTAAATGGATTACACGCGCGTCGGTGTATTCTCATTTGAAGACATTCAACTTAATGAACATTGAAAAAGAAATAAAGAAAAAAAAAAAAAAAAAAAGGAAAAAAAAAAAGAAGAAGGATTTTTTGCATAGGTGCTGATTGCCCGTAGGCAGATACGCTAAAAAGAACTATTAAAAATATTAACTAGTGATATTGTAAAGCTCGATATTTCTTTTTTTGCAATTTAGCATTTTATGCTTACAAATTATTTGATTTTTCCCAGCACATTATTATTACATCCAACATAAAATATCCATGTACTTTTATTTGATTTTTATCATTTTATGAATGTAACATAAGAATAATACAATATCAGTATACATTTGTTATATAATACTGCTAATAAATAATAGAATTTAGTTTAGATAAGCGAACAAACACTGCTTAAATTGTGGAGCCTATTGAAATCGAGAATGACGCATTAATAAATACGTGGCCTCCATTATATTCCATTGGAGTGTTACGAAATAAATAGATTTTAAAGATAATTTTATTCTTATTAATGACTTATTAAAACTTGATATTATAATTAATGACAGTATTAGTCGAGTTTATGCAAATTATGTAAAAAAAGAAAAAAAAAAGAAAAAAAAGAAGAACTCTTTTATTTGCCCGAGAGAAGCTCACATAATAAATAATTCACTCGCGAAGAATTAATTGCGAGAGAACAAGTGAGTTAGTTAAGCGACTATGAAACAATGGAGGCCATTGCTGTGGAAAAAGTAGTACTCGGCAAAAAGTCTCCCCCCCCCGCCCCTCACACTCCCTCCTCACTCACGCACACACACACACACTCTCTCTCTCTCTCTCTCTCTCTATCTCTCTCTATCTAACTATCTCTCTATCTCTATCTCTATCTCTATCTCTATCTATCTATCTCTCTAACTCTATCTCTATCTCTATCTATCTCTATCTCTATCTATCTATCTATCTCGACAAATCGAAGTAGAAATATTTGAGGCCAAAGAAAACTGTCAACTCTGGTGGCTTGGACATTAGAGATCGCGGAGAACGTGGCAAGTAGTTACAAGAGACGCTGACAAAGCAGATTCAATAATTACTGTATAAATAATCGATGGACGGAAAATGTTGGGAAGCTCGAGGCTGGGCGAGGGGTTCATCGTGTCGCGATCATCGTACCAATCGAATATTTCTTATCGGGTGGAGCTGGAATACGAGTCGATGTATTAATAATGAAAAAGTCCTCGCACTCCCAAGGATGGCAAAAGGGGTCGAGCGATCGAGTCGGGTAGCAGCCCCAACTGAATCGGGTTACTGGCGCAGTAGGATGAATCGTAATTCGCAGGACTAAACGATGGTAAGGAAGATGGACTTCCAGCCTCCTGCGAATACACGATTAAGTGGGTTAGCGCCTCGTCGCTGCTCGTGGCAGTGGGTCATGTGCTCGGGTCGTCGGCATCGCGCGAAATGAGCCCCGAGGATATATTAGGGACTCTGCGTCCGACCGCCGCGACGCGCGAACTCGCTCGAGGCTGCGAAATAGGATGTGCGATGGGGCGTGGGGAGTCGACTTGGGCGAGTATCGCGTAAAAATAGGACGAGATTGATGAGCGTAGTATAAGCGGGAAATAGGACGTTGAGAGAGAGAGAGAGAGAGAGAGAGAGAGAGAGAGAGAAATAGTGTAAAGGGGCTCAAAGGATAGGGTAAAAATGTGGCTTTGGCTGCTTCCGGGAGGATACATCGAGGCGCGCATGCGAGCGAAAGAGCGAGACGGGGGAGAATCGGAGAACGAGGAGGGAATGTATGGAGTAAAAAGGACTATAATAATAAATGGTTTCGGGCTACCTATAGTGCTCCATCACGAGGAGGGCGCGTGTATTCACGAGCCAGGCCGTGATTTCACAAGTGAATTCCCTCTAATCACGGGCATTATATGCACGGAGAGATATAGAAAGTTGGAAAATAAGCCGACGTCTACCGCATGATATCGCAAAACCTTTAAACTATAAGTCAAATTTGCTCAAACTTACGGCATTACCCGAATCACCAATTCCATTCTCCTTGCAGAGATTTCTAACTCGGCAGTCCGTTCGCTTCTTTGAAAATTCCTCATTAAGCGCAATATGATGGGATTTATACGAGCCAGCTTTCGAGCACTTAACGCCAAGTGGGAAAACGTGATTTTCACGATTCGATATGGTTTAGTCGAAGACATCGCGGGCTATAATGCCTATTTGGGGGTGGGCTGATTTTCATTTGATGTTGACTCGACTGTAATTATAAGGATCGGCGGGACTCAGTTGTCGCTCGAATTTCGCTTACTAGGATTCTCAGGGGCGCGAATGGGACGCGCGTCGATATGGCGGATTACGAGCGGTTATGCCGTGGAAGGAGGACGTGAATGCGGAAAATGTCGTTGAAGCTCGAGTGGTGAAAGGCTCGCGTGGCGCCCGCGATATTTATCGGCATTGCCGCGCTGCCTCCGATTTCTGATTTAGGATGCCCCGGTCGACGATGCTTTTTACCGCGCGCCTCCAGCCATCCGCGTAAATCATAAATCGATTGAAACGCGAGCGCAGGTCCTTTCGCCAAAACTTTTTTCGGCTCCGATGCGTCCAACGGACGACAATATTTATCCCTGCCGATTCACATGTACACACATTGCTTTATGTTTTATTAGAGTTTGATTGCATGACGGAAGGGCTTACGGTGTGGGGATTTTGGATTTTTTTACGTCCCCTGCCTGCGCTGAGTATCGATTTTGAGTTCGCTGTGAGTTTTGTCAAATGCTAATTGCGCGATTAAGTGATTGGTCGGGAAACATAATTTTTTATGAAATTTTCAGATGAATCGGACAGCGACTGCCACGGTGAGGCGATGATTTTTGAAAATATATTATGAGAAAACCTTTATTCATAATTCGGATAATATTATGGGCATAAGTGATGAATGGGTGAGGGGTGGGGTGATAAGACGCAGATATTTTTTTATTTTTTGAAATATACTATTATTATTATTTGAAAATAGTGTGGAATTAAATAGCGGGAATTAGATAGATTTACAAATCCAAAGTATTCGATAAGTAGCTGGAAATGAAAGGGCAACAATATGTGACAATATTTTTTAAGTAAAAATCGATTATAGATAATGTGTCGTTTGATAGAGGCATATGAAAACAGTAGAAAGCAAAACAAAACAAAACAAACAAAAAAAAAAAAATAAAAAAATTAAAATTAAAAAACATTAAAAGCATAACTAACAAATCGTACTTGAAAGAAATATAAAATAACGATATCCTATCGATTCGTTTAATGCTGAAACAGATAAGTTGAACGTGCCAAGTAATAAGGTGACACACGTTCGAATTTTTGAATAAAAATAAAATAATATGGACAATGAATGTACGTATATATAAGAATTATAACAAGATTTTTAAAATACAAATATCAGCCTTAACCAGACAATTGTATTGGATTTTTTTTTTTTTATTTCACTTGCAATAGATTTATTGGTCACAAGCTTCAAACCGATAATATATTTAACGATCATGTTTTCATTCACTGCTAATCTTTTTTTCATATCGAGTTTAGTAAACTTGGAAAAATTCAATGCTTATTTTACGAATTAAATTTACATGATATTATATCGATGATTAACATTCTCATACAATGAAAATGAAAGTAAATTTTAATGATAATTACGATTTTTATTACGAGATAGGATTTTCACGTTTCGTTACGTTGGCTAAAATGTTTTTAACATTTTTCTAAAAACTATGCGCAATGCCAGAATGAAAATACATTTGGAATTTATAAGCCGACGAGACAAAGGAACGGCTGAAATTTCGAAAAATCGAAAGTCCACGGACATGGTTGCTTTAATTAAAATTGAATTGCAAATTAGT